ATGATTTTCAAAAAGAAAAACGAAACAACTGATTATCGATTGTTTTTTTTCTCTATATTAGGGTCGTACTCAAAGTAGTATTACAGTTCGCTTTGGAAACAAAGAAGAAACATATGATTTATTAGAAATACTTGATTTTGATAATGATCGCAAACGAATGTCGGTACGTATTTAAAAAAAAAAAAGTTTTTCTTTTGATAATTTACTTTGTGTGATTACTTTCTGGTTTTATAGGTTATTGTTAAAAAGAATGGCAAGATATTTTTATATTGTAAAGGAGCTGATTCTAAAATAAAAGAACGTTTAGACCCATCAGAAAAAAATATGATGGCTGTAACGGACGAACATTTATCTGTGAATAAATTATTGTTTTTCTTTTTGGATCTTATGATTATTTTTATCTTTTATAGAAACTTGCAATGGATGGCCTACGTACACTTTGTTTAGCATATAAAGAATTGAATGAAAGTGATTATAATCGATGGGCTCAAAAATTACATGCAGCAAAGTATGTCATTAGTAGAAAAAACACTCGAACAGGGGAAAAGAAACTTAACAATCGTCAGAATTTCGATAACTTGATATATTATCGCAAGAGAGCTGAATCATATTCTCTGAATCGTATCCATTATTTCAGATAATTTACATCAGAGAAAATTAAATACTCACAAAAGGTGAAATCATTCATCTATTTCGACTTAATAATGGATATTTTTTATGTTCTCTTTAAAAGAGAGCAATACCTATGCATGATATTACGCGCATTTCTACCCACGTTCGATGCTCTATATGAATAATTTAAGACAAATATGCCATATGTAATGTTAATTGAGCAACATACTTTCTCCAAAAACTTCAGAAATTTTCATTAGATTTCAAGGTCTCATTCTCGTTCATTTCTTCATCGAAAAGAAGCATCCAAAACTAGTATGCATGGAATAGTGTAGAGAATAGATATTTATTTGAACGACAAAAAGACATTTCATGAATTCTCAGAGTACTGACTAAGTCTTGCTAGTTGAAACTCTTTTTGATACCGTTAAAATTTGTTGTAGACCATCAATAGACTAATTCATTCTTTGAAATAAATTCTAATAAGCTCTTTAACAAACGAATTTTTCCTCTTTAGTATAAGTATGGAAAATCGAGAAGAAAAAGTCAGGGATATCCATGAAGAAATTGAAAAAAATCTCAAATTAATTGGTGCTACAGCTATCGAAGATAAACTACAAGATGGTGTACCTCAATGTATTGAACGTTTAACATGTGCTGGTATTAAAATTTGGGTTTTAACTGGCGATAAACTTGGTAAGTTGAATTTCTATTCAATGTATTTTTCTTTATTTTCTTTTGCTGCAATATTATCTAAGAAACTGCTCATAATATTGGCTTATCATGTCGTTTATTAACAAATGATATGGAACTCTATATTATTCAAGAGGAAAATGAAGATGATGTTGAAAAAAAATTACGAGAGGTTCGAAATGATATGATTAACAAAATTGAACAATTATTTGATGTTTATATTGAGGATAAAAATAAAAGACTTAATTGGAAAGATTGGGGAATTGATGTTATGAAATTTAATCGATATAGAAAACCTAATTATCTAAATGATAGTAAAATACAACATCCAAATGATCATACAGAAGCAACATTTGATACAAATCAACTAGATAGTGAACAATTTGAAGGTTTCGGTTTGCTAATTACAGGTCATGCATTAGCATTTGCATTAGATGAAAAATTAAAAATGAAATTTCTTGAAATTGGTACAATGTGTAAAGCTGTTGTTTGTTGTCGTGCAACACCATTACAAAAAGCTCAAGTTGTTGATTTGGTTATGAAAAATGAAAGAAAAATTACTTTAGCAATTGGTGATGGTGCTAATGATGTATCAATGATACAAAGTAAAATTATAGAAATATCTCGTTTTATATTGAAGAAAATAAAAATATATAATATAATTTTCAGAAGCACATATTGGTGTTGGTATTAGTGGACAAGAAGGTCGACAAGCGGTACTAGCAAGTGATTATAGTTTAGGACAATTTCGTTTTCTTGAAAGATTATTACTTGTTCATGGTCGTTGGTCATATTTACGAATTTCAAAATTTTTACGTTATTTTTTCTATAAAAATTTTGCATTTACATTGTGTCATTTTTGGCTTGGATTTTTTTCCGGTTTTTCAGCACAAGTAAGTTGGAAAGAAAAATATCAACAATGTACAATTATCTCATTTTCTTATTATTAGACATTATATGATCCATTCTTCATAGCAACATACAATGTTTTCTTTACTTCATTGCCTGTTCTAGTATTAGGTGTCTTTGATCAAGTAAGCTAAACATTAATTTCTTCTGGTTTTTAGTATATTTTCGAAACTAAATATTTTCGTTTTGATATTTCTATAGGATATTAGTGCTGATCATTCATTAAGTAAACCGCATTTGTAAGTTCATCTTTGTTTGTGACTTAAATATTCATTTTGCTTGTATTCAAGATATACACCTGGTCAAAATGATGAATTTTTTAATAAAAAAGTCTTTGCTGAAAGTGTGATACATGGTATATTAACATCATGTGTCATATTTTTTGTATCATATTTATCTATATCGAATGCTACACGGCCCGATGGAATGGCACTAGCTGATTTACAATCATTTGGTTTTACAGTTGCAACAATAATGGTTATTATTGTTAATTTAGAAAATGCACTTGAAACATGGTACTGGACTAGTTTATATCATTTCGTTTTATGGGGTACAATATTGACACATTTTCTATTCCATTTTGCATTATATTCGACAATAATTGGGAAAATTTTCAAAAGAAGTTATACATATGTTGGTGTAACACCAGCTGTTTTATCGACAAGTAATTTTTGGTTTACATTACTTCTTACATGTGTTATATTACTATTACCAGTATTTAGCCGAGAGTATGTCATTTTCTATTTGAGATACAAAAGATTTATTTAGTTATATATTTATATTTTTTAAAGATTTTTTCGCATGCGATTTATACCGACTAAAATTGATCGTGCCCGATTAAATCAGAAATTTCGCACGGAAGAAAAAGCAGCATTTGTTGCACATATACAATATAAACTTCGTCAAAGAAAAAGATCGTTTCGATCAGGTTATGCTTATTCGCAAGAAACAGGTTGGGGTCGACTAATTACTTCCGGGTTAATGCAATCAAAATTGAATCCATTTGCTCGGTCATCATCACAAACCACAAATGTAAGTCTCAAAAACGACTTTATAGTTGAAAAGATTCTCTGTTACGTGTGACAGACTCAAAGACTTAAAGAAAACTGCTGTGATAATGATCTTTGAAAGATTGAATTATTCCAAAAAAACAATTTTCTTGCTTCATGAGTTTCCTTCATCGAACTCTGTAAATTAGATTTGATTCAATGAGCGAAGTTCATGAAAGCTACGAATATGTCTTCGATCTAATGAAATCTTTCTTTAGAAGCTTTGAATAGTGCTCTGAACTTATTTCGGTTGCTATGTGTGTAAAGAAACTCTCACGTTTGTCTGTTGACCATAATTATTAGACATATTGAGCGATTGTGTTCGGATTATTTAACTTTGTTTGAATATCTATAATCATTTTTTGCAGTGGCAGCATAAAACAAAGAAGTTTGTCACTACTCTTTTCATATTGATTAAAGTTAGTGTGCCGCGAATGATAACAACATTAAGAGATACGCGTTCTTCAATTACCATTTTCTCTTTCTGAATGTTCTCGTTTTCTTCACCGGTCTGTTGACATTCTAGTATTAATAAATTTGAGCAAATAGATAAGAACCACCTGACGTTGTGTAAAGTGTAATTTTGAAAGAAGCTAGTGTCTAAGAAATCATAGTCTCTCTCGAAAATGAAACAAATATGACCGGAACCGGAAATTGAGAAAAGTTGTTCCTTCAAAACAATAGTTAGAATACTTCTTTTCTAAATAAAGTAAATACATGAAATGTCGAATCGTGTGTTATGTATTTGTTGTCATCTATTGATTTTTACTATTTTGAAGCTGATGTGATTTTTGTGTTTTTGTTGTCATATCTAGACTGTAACTCAAAATCGATTTTAATATGGAATGAAGCATAAAAGAAGACTGCAACTACGGAAAAACTTTATCGTAAGCTTTTTATTTATATGCATTCATTTTTTGTATTTTATGTGGACAATATTTGTAACATATTTACGATAGAGTCACACTAACCTATTTATTTTCTATTTTTTTTTATTGTTTTGACAAGACGCAAGAGAATAAAAAATACAAAAATAGGATGCATTTTACATCATTTGAATGAAGTATTTTTCTCGCAGAGAAATGATGACTAAGATATAACAAAGAAGTTTGTGATAATGAAAAGGACAAAATTATTCATGTGTTCCAAAGTCATCGATTATTTTCATTCATGGGAATGCTACATTTCACATCAGAATCAGAATTACCTAGTATGATATTTATGTGGTCTGATACATCGACCGTCTATCACTTTGTATAGATTCATTTAATTGGACAGTTAATCGTGTGATGGAGTAAGAGAATGAAATGGTGCATTGACAATTGATTTGTTTTTCTTTGATCACATTATGGAGTGAGCAAAAGTAACATATATCAAGTCTTATTGGAGTAATGGAAAATGGAAAGAATAAACTGACAGAAGTCAATGTCAAAAGGATGCATGTGTTTTTAGTACATCGTCTTAACTCTTAGGAGACCGTGCTCGTATATATACGCTTTTGAAATTTGATTAAGAGAAGGAGTCTTTATATGCACTAAAACTATTTTTTTTAGTATGGACTAGGGATGTGGGTGTACATCATAGCTCAATCCATACCGTAAACATGTCGCATTCCAACTGATGTCGTTATCGATTCCGATGCGAGCTGAGATATGAGACTTTATATCGACTTATTAAACTTTTATTTCCTAAATAATATATTTAACATAAATGTTTATTGTCACTTTTGTAAATTTTTCAATAGAAATAATCGATCACAACTGGTTTACCGAGTCGTTGTCCATGATCAATAGCTAAATTCACAAAGAGAATATCGTGAGATGAGGATATGGAGTTGCCTTCTGCTAACGCTTGATTGTCTTCACTTATGTACAGACTTGCACCATGATCGTCATGTATGTGACCAAAGAGATGAATGCGAGGTTTGACTCGTGTGACAATTTCATCTAGTAAACCTGGACAACCCATATGTTTTGCATTCAACGGATTGTAGTCTCGAATACTGTACGGTGGACTGTGTGTGAGTAATATGTCGATATTTTCTGGAATCTGCGTCCATTTATCCGCTCGGATCTTTTTGTGATGATAGCCGAACGCGTTAGATCTATATAAAATGCCGCGTTTTGGGTGCCATGAACTACCGTAAATCTGTACGCCTTCAATGTCGATGACTTGATCTTGAATATAAGTCATATTACTAAGTATTTTTTGCGTAAGATCTGGTCGTTTAGGATTGAGAGATACACAATGGTTACCACTGATGAATAATTTGTGAGTATGTGGAAGGGTGCCAACAAATTTATTGAAATTGATTAAATCACGAGTGCATGTCATATAGTTGACGGCATCGCCACAATGAACAAATACATCACCATGTGGAATTATCAATCTGTCAATTTGATTGTGAGTATCAGATACACAGACAAAACGTAAACGTTGATGTGAACCGGTGCCCATTGAATGAGCATCACGATAGATGACAAATGGATTATCTTTTGTTCCCTCGCCGATATTTTCAGCCAACACTGAATCTACCGTTCTCTCTTCCCAATGTGGTACATGATTTAGATGATGAAGAACAGCATGTGGATGATTTCTGACACGTGGCACGCGTAACCTATAATACAGAAAATCATTTTGATGAGTAGACGATTTGGAAAGATTTTATGAAAAAAAAGAGCTTACCCGGGTAGCCAATCATATATCGACAGTTGGAACAAGAACATCTCTGGATTCTTTAAAAAGAGGAATGATACGACAAGCAGCGAAATTTATAGGAACCATATTTTGAAGAAAGACAAACAACTTTTTTGACTCATCCTATTACTCAACTTATCATATTACGAAAGAAATGAATGAGTTAGCAACCGCTGACGCATGTTTTTCTTTCTTTCTATCGTTCTAAACGACAGCACGATTCCCCTTAGAAGGACATCAGATAAAAGGGTGGGTGAGTATATAGATAAAGATAGTATATGGCGAGCATGACGCGTTTCGTTCTTGCCAGTAGATCTATTCAAATGCTGTTTTTTCCAAGACAATTCACTGTTCACTCACACGTTCAATCAAGACGAAATAAGACATTATCGTAGAAGAACTCTAAAGAATCTCTGACAAGGCAGAAATCGCCCGTACAGATGAATAATCAGTAAACGGGTTTTGAGTTTGCTCTTCATTAATACCAAAATTCTTTTAATTATTAACTTTCGTTTGTTAGGTGAAAACACGACCGTACATATTCCATGTACCAACAAAAATGTTATTTTAGATGCATTTTCCAGGCTTTATTTGACTTTTTTGTGATTATAAAGAGCACTTTTCTTAGGGGATATGTGAAAGCTTCTGCTTGTGTTGAAACAATATTTGCTATTGAGAGTTGACAAAAGGAGATTGCTATTGGTTTTCAATATATCTAAATATTTGTTGCATTCCTATATTAGCACGAATATAATGATTTCATTCAACGTTTCTCGGTCGTTGGATTTCGAAGTCTATAAGAAATTGCTCTCTTACTGGTTTCTATTCGATGAAAATGATCGTACTTCATCTATTCAATCTATCATAGGCTTGTTATCAGTCAAAGACGAAAACACTCTCTTTTGTTGGAAGAAGATCTTTGCACAAATGTTTGCTAACCGACTATTAAGAGATTTCTCGAGACACAGCATTCACTTGTTCGAAAGATTTTGCTTTGAAATTGTTTACTTGCGTCGTGAACGAACCAATGATAAAACGAAAAAAAAAAGAAATTCTTTTTTTGTCAATGTAAATTATTGTATTGCGACACTGAGATTTTTTTTAGCGGATAATTTCGATTGAATCCATGTTTTTCTACACTATTCCAATTGATTTTGCTTGTCGACACTGTTCAATTGATAACAAATCCGATTTTTTTTTGATTACTGATAAGTGTCTTGCATCTATTGACATATGTGAAGAAAATCAAATTTTTTTACAATCATTATGTAAATATAAAATGACAATAACTTTCCAATAGGATCGTATGTTAAAAAGCAACTTTAGTGTTTGCTCGACGGCAATAAATCATTTCTATGATATAAAACGTATCGCTAAAAAAACTACTTTTCATCATACTTTTCTCATATCCTTTAGGCGTGTTGTAGACAAATAATGAAATACATTGTTCCTTTTTTGTCGTTGCTATTCTCCATTATGTTCCAAGACTTACTCTTCCATTCAATGCCAGTATGTTACCTATGAATGGTTCGCTCACATCGGTCAATTCCTCATCAATTCAACTCGTCAGGAAGCCATCATCTTCACTTGAAGGCATCGATCTTACTCAACTGCCAGGCATATTTACTGTCAGCCTTTATGCTGGCACTAGAATGTCTATATTCAGTGTCATTGTAGTTTATGACTTAATTCAACTGACTCAATCAGGGTTGTTGAACTTTCGGATACTGTTTATCATGTGTGTTTTCAAAGCAAGTGGTACAAACAAAATATCACTATGATTGTCGAGGCACCTGGTAGAATCAAGCCAAGCGAATGCCAGTTATTGCAAACATATACTAATGGGGAGTGAAATTGAAAGCTTGAGAATCATTATAACTGTAGAGAAAGACAGAATAAGGTATTCTGTAAGCTAGGAAAATTCATCTCAAAACCATATGATCATAGTAGTTCATAATCACTCATCTAATTTTGGCGAATCAGAGCATCTCTTGAAGTCAGATTGCACATCTAATGAAGCTTGTTTGTTCAGAATTCTCAACTTACTGTTCACAGATAGTTGTAAGTTTGACGACATAGAACCTATTTTCTTCATTCCGAATATAGGCAATTAATCGATCACATCCATCAAACACTGTTATATTGACATAAGAAATAATTGCATTCGTAGTAATCTTCAATTTTCGTTGAATTATGAAATCGAATACTCATATGTAAAATTAATACCCGGCTACTATGTTGTTATAAAAATTGATTCCGGCATTTTTGATATCAGCAACATGCGCCAAAGAATGATTCTAGAAATCATCTTACTTCTATACGTAGCAATTCTTCCAGTGAAATCAATATCTATAAATCATGCTGAGCGGAGCACAGTCACGCACAGCTATGAACAAAGCGAATATGCCAATAATGTCAACACAATGGTATATTCGATCTTGACTAATTCTTCTAAGTGGAAAGCAATGCTTCGTGCTCAACATCTTCAAAAATATCGCCAATCTTTCGCAACAAAAGATCAGAAAGACATAGCATTGGCTCATAAACATCAAATAACAGATAGCCAACTCATTTATGTCACTAGCAATGGTAAGAAACCATTAACAAGGCAAGTGCTTGGATTTGACCTTAAAAATGAGTTAAGCCTCGAAATATAAAAAAAGAAAATTCCAATTAAATGGCAAATGTCACCGACAAAAGTTCAACAACTATTGAGAAGAGGCTATGGAAAGACGAATGGATTTCTAGAAAATTTTGATGAACAACTGTTGAGATCATTCCAAAATTTTCTACAAACACGATCTATATTTTTCACATCTCTCTCAAATTCTAGTTTACCAAGCTTATCGAAGATTTTCGTTGAAATTCAGATCTTTTTTTTCTTCAGAAGACTTTAAAAACTGATGGCTTAAAATAGGAGATTGTATTACATAGAACATATTCATGTGTCGAATAGTTTTGAAGTTTTTCAACAAAAACGTTGGATTATCTTCCATTAAGCCTTAGAATTCTATCACTAAAAGCTTTACTATACAAAAAATTTATTTGTAGGTTCAATCCGTAGAAATGTGAAACATTCTGGTCTGATTTGCTCTGTCAAATATGAAGATAGCGATTATGTAATATATCCTGTGTCTTCGACTAATAACACAGCTATTGGTGATGTCATGCCATATTTTAATATTGAATCGCATGAAACGTACATTCTATATTTGAATGATATTTGGAATGATATCACCCATCAGCGACATCCATGGTATGGATTTAAAACTAACAATTTCTATTCGTATTCACTTGTTGCTTCGGATGAACTGCTCAGTTGTAATGATGAACCATGTTCACAGGATTTTGCGTTGGGCACGGGTAGTGTCATTAAACGTGAAAATATTTACTACGCATTTTATACAGGACATAATCCGAATTATCCATCGTGGTGCGTGAAAAGAAAAGAAGGTATCATGCTAGCTACTTCACCTAGTTTGACGGTTAAATTTACAAAAAATTCTACGTTTACTACTCTCTATGCACCACTTGGTCATGGTTTCGATGAATATGATAACTTTCGAGATCCATTCGTTTTCTACGACGACTTTTCAAAGCAGTATAATTTGATAGTTTCGGCTCGAACTTCAAGAGGTGTCATCGTTCAATATACTTCTTTCGACTTATTCAATTGGTCCTACAAAGGAGTGATATATGATGGCGGTTTGACCAACTTTTTCATGATGGAAACACCTGATTTATTCAAAATAGGCGACATCTACTATCTTCTATTTTCCGATATTGACTCGAAAAACGTATATTATCGTAAGAGTTTTTCGCTCTCGGGACCATGGACTAGTCCGATCGAAGATACGATTCGCTTCGATGGGAATGGCTTTTATGGTGCTAAAGTAATTGTAGACAATCATGGCGATCATTACATTTTCGGTTGGACCAATCGACTAAACGACAACAGTGATACTGGATCCTGGTTATGGGGTGGTAATCTTGTGGTACATAAGCTTTATCAAATAGATTCAACTAAAGATCTTGCTGTTACGATCCCGCATACACTCAAATCCTATCTAGAGAAATACAACGAACCTATTGTGAAACATAGCCACTGGGGTAATGTAACTATTTCAAGATCGGACACCTCTTTGTATCATCTCTCTAGCTCGTCCGACACTGATATTGCTAATGTTTTGTTCAATTCAATCAATTTGAATCGTTACAAGATCAGTGCTACAGTATCATATGATCGTTCTGCAAAAGATTTTGGATTTATGTTTGCAGTATGTGATGGTTATGAAAATTTTTATAGTTTACGCTTTGTGCCTTCTCAAAATCGGTTCAGTTTCGATAAAATTAAGCGTTCATCATTAACCAATACCACAATGGCTTCATCCGACGTACCGTTCACATTTGTAGCAAACACTGATATCAGCATTCATATCATTATAGAGAATTCCATGGTGGTGACTTATCTTAACCATCGAGTTGCATTGAGTGCCCGCATCTATCGAGCGCCTAAAAGTTCTTGGGGCATTTTTGTGGATAATACTAGTGCAACCTTCAAAAGTCTGACCGTGACTAAACCTTAATCTAATATAATCCGGTTGAAATATTCCTGCTGCTTATTCACTTACAGCAGTACGATGGAACACTTTTTTTTTTTATTTTAACACAGGCAATAATATTAACCTCGGCAATGATTTTTCTCGCTCTACTTTAAAGTCATTATTAAATAACGAGTTTAGAAGAATATGATACTCAAATAAATTCATCTCGTTTAATACACTCATCTTTCTAGTTGCAGATACTCTAAAAAGTATTCGAACACTTTAGGTCACGTCCATCCTTCCACAAAACGGATTTTCGTTCAGATATATGCAAATTGCATGAAATTTTCAAGATATGTTGGAACTGTAATGGAAAGACAATGAATCAGTTAGTCACCCAAAATTCTCTGTGAGCCTTCGTTCTTTCTATCATGCTCTTCGTCCTGACATGATCTCTCAAACAAATAAAAATCAGTTATATAGAATGAAAGCTCACAAAGAATGTTTAGTTACCGATTGTACCATTGTTGACTCTTGTTTTATTGAAAATTTCATGCAATTAGCATGTATGTGAATCAAAATCAATTTGGAGAAGAATGGAAGTGGTCTTAAGTATCGGGATACGTTTTCGAGTATCCCTAGTTGAATTACTACTATTATCAAACGATGATTCTGATAAGAGAGCAAACTAGAAAACAGTGAATTGTACGATATGCGTAGGAATTTGAGACTTGTGAAGCAAGAAATAATCAGGACAATCTTTTCTCAAAGGTTTTTCTCTTCTCAAGTTTATTTGAATTCTGTTATTTACTGTTTATATAACATCTTGTGATTCCACATCCATACTGATACTCACACTCACGTCGATGAGATCATTCCCGAAAAGACTTTTGAAGAGTTTGAATGTGGGTGACATCTACTTCACTCATATCAATAAAATCTGGTTTATCATAAGTTCTGATTGCATGTTGATTTCGATGGTGAAGAATAGCCTTCTCACAAAGACGTTGAATGTTCACTCTCTCGAGATAAAGTTCTGAATTAACCTGAAAATAATTTCAGATGATATTTGTTATATGCTAATTCATCAAACCAAGCATCTAAAAACGGAAACACATAAGCTTGAGTATATCAAAGGTCTTCTAGAGCAATTTTGATAGCTTTCGTATTTCATATGTTTTATCTTCTAGGTTCACCTAAGTTATAGCCCAGGATCATTACATGACTTAAAAGCACAAGAAAAAATACGAAACAAAGTGAGTATTCTCTCTGGATACAATTCAATAGAAACAGTGCTATTTAATAATCCACAAGATCGATGTGGCATCGAACCGGAAAAGAAGTCAGATAGAATACTTATCAGCATACCATCCTAAAATTCCGCTATAAATTCAGCAGCTTTATAATCGTGAAACTCTTTTACATAATGAAAATCAATGTGCATACAAAAAAAAAACAAGATAAGAATCAAGAAAAAGCTCAACACTGTTGGAAATCTCACTCCTGTATTATATATTTTACAAAAATGAATTCGATTATGCTTTTTCTTCTCGCATATTTTTTTTTCAGTACTTTTCTGTACTATTCATATGAAATAATCTTGAGGTATGGAGTGTGAGTGTGATGTGAATATTCTCTTCACCCACATCCACGAATATAAAATTAGTAGAGTATCATTTTTTCCCATTCAAGAAAATAAATTTAAAATGGTCGAACAGTAAAATTCAGCAAGAAAAAGATTGATGAAAACAATAGTTGCCTACTACCATAGAGATAATATTATGATCCAATCATATTTCATTTCGTGGGAGTATTTATCGATGAATCGATTAGTGCGATGTTCGAAATTCAAAATCAATGTAAAATATTGCTTTTATCTCATATTTAACATGGAACTACGTCAGAAAAAGTCTACTTAAAATAATTGAATCTCTGAAGCTCTACAATTTGAAAAAGTTTTAATGTAAAACGAATCTAAGAATTTTAGGTCAGTGGATCATTTTCAAGATAAATTCAAATAATTCATTAATGCAATACAACAAACGGCGAAGAACGTTGTGGGTTTCATTAATAATGATGGACTTCTACTTTGATTGACAACGCGTACAAAAGCCGTAGACACGTCAGCTGATTTCGATGCGCATTGAAGAAACCAATAACCATACCATTGCATAAATCGAATCATGATAGGTATTCGTGGTTCAGGATTGTTAGTTGAAGTTGAATTACCATCACGTTGATAAGTTTTAACTTGACCATATTTGTCAGTTTCGATCACTTTCAATGTTGGTGTTTTCCAATCATTAGTCGTCGAAGCGAACCAACATTCTTCAGAAATGACTGAAGCACGACGATTGAAAATATGAGAAATGTCTTTTAACTTATGACAATTCTCACCAAATATTTTTTTTCAATTCTCTTGCTTGTCTACATGCATGTGTCATACCTTGCGCATATTGAGGGTTGAATGAACACATTGAATCACCTAATAATATATAATTTTGGGGCCATTTCTTTCCCAACGATTCGACATATTTTCGATCATCGATCGCGTGACGAGATGGAATTAATGGACTGCATACTTTTGCTGCTTTTAAAATTGTATAATATTTTGGATCTAGATTTTCTTTTGTCCATTCTAATAGGTTTTCGTATGAATCATTCGGTGGATATTCAGAATTTACACAATTAATGGCGATTGTTGACGATGTTCCTAATGAATTTTCATTATTTGTTTTTATGGTACGTATTGGAATTACAATAAATCCTACATTTTTCTCAGGAGAATCAACTGGATTACTAATAACAAGTGCTGAATCGAACGATGAATCACCAATTCGAAATCTTTCACCAATAAATGTAACATAACTACAACCGAAATGTATTTGTATAGTCGGTACAATTAAATTGAAATTCTCGTTTAGCCAGTTAGGTGATGATGTATAGCGACCAGTACAATCAATAATAAAATCACCATACATATCAAACGATGGTGAACCAATATTTTGCTTCGATCGATATTTTATACCTTTGACAACGTTTAATGATTTATCCACAATTAATTCAGTTGCTCGTGTATTACATTTCTATTCAGTTTGATTACCATATTGCAAGCACAATTCTTTTCTTAGAACTATTTCTAATGTAAAACGAATAATACTCAACCATTCAAAATCTTCGGTTAAATTTGTATTCAATAATACACCACCGGCACTAACTCTTGATTCGTTTTTTACTGAATAAGTACGAACAGTATATTCATTAAAAAATTTATCGTTTACAGTCCTGGGCAAAAGTCCCTCACACCCCTGAACTTTATCAATATTTCAAGCTTTTGGCTTGAGATTTTGGCTGCATGTGAGTACTGACAAACGCTGATCGTAGACACCAACCCGACATCAATTCAATGTAACAGAACAGAGTTATACACCAAACACTATCGTTATCTTGCATTGGTTATATATCAGTCACACAATCACTTTGAAAGTCGGGGAACCTACTCTTCCAAAGCTTGAGTCTTCAGCTTTCTCCAATAAAATTTTCATCAGAAAAATCTTTCGAGTTGCTGAGATATCAGCCTATTAATGGGTATCGACCGAATCACAATTATGATGATTTTCACTTCGTCATATTGAAAAATCATCTTTACATTGACCGATTCACTTGAAAGTTTTTTTCATCATATTCATAGATTCAGAAATGTTTTCTAAAAGTTTCAGCATTATAGCTTGTACTATACTCGAAATACGGCGATATAATATTCTCGTCACTGCAAGTCTCGCTAAATGTTTATATCTCAATGAATCCAGTTGTTCTTTCTATCTAGCATTGTACACATTAGGAGTTATATGTATCACTAGAAAAATCTCCTATAAATCATTTAGATATAGAATAATATCATTTTCTGTATCCGATAAATGGAACAGATAATAACATAAAAGAAAATGAAAATATTTTCAGTTACGATTTTTCATCATCTTGATTAAATGTGGCAGGTTTAGTTTCAGAATCAACGTTTGTGAGCATCACAAACGTTAATAATATTAATTCGACTTCTCTGAATCACTATAAGAGCGAATACTGAAAGATCTATCAATACTCTATATGTATATATCAGAACATTTCTTCTATTAACCGGATGATTCCGTATTATTTGAATATTAGTGAAATTAGATATAGACGAAGGACAATATTTACAAACAGAAAGTGTAAGATTTGATATAGAAAAAAAATTGGTATTATTCTATATCTAAATGATTTATAGGAGATTTTTCTAGTGATACATATAACTCCTAATGTGTACAATGCTAGATAGAAAGAACAACTGGATTCATTGAGATATAAACGTTTGGCGAGACTTGCAGTGACGAGAATATTATATCGCTGTATTTCGAGTTTAGTACAAGCTGTAATGCTGAAACTTTTAGAAAACATTTCTGAATCTATGAGTATGATGAAAAACAATTTTCAAATGAATCGGTCAATGTAAAGGTGATTTTTCAGTATGACGAAGTGAAAATCATCATAATTGTGATTCGGTCGATACCCATTAATAGGCTGATATCTCAACAACTCGAAAGATTTTTCTGATGAAAATTTTATTGGAGAAAGCTGAAGACTCAAGCTTTTGAAGGGTAGGTTCCCCGACTTTCAAAGTGGTTGTTTGACTGAGATATAACCAATTCAAGATAACGATATAGTGTTTGATGTATAACTCTGTTCTGTTACATTGAATTGATGTCGAGTTGGTGTCTATGATCAGCGTTTGTCAGTACTCACATGCAGCCAAAATCTCAAGCCAAAAGCTTGAAATATTGATAAAGTTCAGGGGTGTGAGGGACTTTTGGCCAGAATTGTAACTAGATGAATATCCTCAAATTGATATGATTTAAACAGAACATAATCTAAGAAAAGCTTAAGTTCCGTTTTTATATCATTCTATGATTGAATATCAACACATGGCGATAAGATAATGGACAATAAGGATTCTATTCTTCTATTTAAGTGCAAGTTCCTCTATGGTAAATGTTTAATATCAACCAAAATAGTAAACAGTGTAAATTTACATGCGAATAAGATTTGAATTAAAACTGAATATTTATATTTATAATTCTATAATGTTTACATAGCAAATCATTTTGTTTGTGTTGCAAGTTTAACCAATCCTCTCATAGTGTCATGTTGTGTACGATTAATAGAGTCGAATTTTCTCGGCATGATTGGTTGATACTTGGATGAAGTTGTCAAGTTTTAAAGTATATTGTGTTGCATATAGTGGCGTAACCAGATGGGGGCTAGAGGGGGCTCAGCCCCTCTAGAGGGCGTTGAGCCCCCCCCCCCCCCCTACGAATGGTTGACTTCTGTTAAAAAACACCATGAGCCCCCTCTAAAGACGTGAGTGGAAGTGTCTTCGCCCCTCTACGAACTGGATCAGGGGAGCTGAGCCCCCTCTATCACGTTTTTCTGGTTATGCCCCTAGTTGCATATGCGTTCTATTACTTTCAAACTTGATCGATGCGTTTCTTGTCTTTTAGAATATAGTGTTCTTCAAAATTTTATCAGCATATTTGAAATAGAAAAACTTGATAAAAGATATTAAGTGTTCATTTTTTTGTTGAGTCTCACTCACCGCCACACCCTATGTAAATGAAAGTTATGAAAATGTGATTGAAAATCATGGACTAATAAGCAATAATGAAGAATGTTTTCCAACCAAAATGATTAGCTCATTGTGAACTACAAATGAAGGAAATTTTCACATTGTTCAGGTAAACATTGCTCATGGAGCAAGCTGTCCTTCACTTTTAGTTTATAAAACTTCTAATCAATACTACTATTAGAAAAATACGTCAGCACAATTTCGACATTTTTCATGTGATTGTTCATTTTGGACAAACACTGGGTATAGGTAGTTTTGGAATCCATTGGTTGCCATATAACGGTGGTACATTGACAGGAAAATATGCAGCTTCTCGTGTGTAGAGCCCGATACACAATGGCGCCGTTAGAAGAAGGAAAAGATGTGTTACCAATGATCCAAAAGGCTGTGGTAATCGAATCTTCATATACGCTTCTATGCAACACACAATGCCATTTACAAGAAAGAAGGTAAATGTAGATAAAGTTGACCAGGTATCATTGAAGACAACAAGAACAATATGAACGTGAAGAAGACCGCTAACAATAAATGTTATTAAAGCCATGGTCTCCCGTGAAGATATATATAAACTAAGAGGTTGATATACGGATTCCTTAAGCACTGTGCCAACGAGTCGATTATATCGTCGACCCCAAAAATCACGCAATGATCGAGAAAATAATGGAAAATTGGCGAACGATTGAAGCGTATATTTATCTTGAGTAATGAGTCGAATAAGAGCAATTTGCATTTCAGTCATATATGAAGTCGTCAAAAGTGCAAAATAAAACATACTAATTCTTGCATAGCTGTCATTCGGCTCACACCTAAGAAGCCATTCATACAGCCAATGATTTACTGTTATTTTAACGCCAGCCGATATAACATCAGCAATAATAGGCCACTGGTTTTCTACCGATTTAGATGGTACGATTGGAAATATATTCCATAGAATTTTGAAGACAAACGAGTAAACTGTCAGAAATGTGTGTGGTGAAAGAACAGTTAAGTGTATCAAACGAATCGACATCATCCAATAGAGAGAGACTGTAAGGATAGAAAGATAATGAACCTTAGGAAGATCATGGCAGCCTATATGAGTAAGTAGTATGCAAGGTGCTACTGTCAAAATGGTTCGAATCAATGTATGATGAATAGTACGAATAAAATAAAAGCAGGTGAGGCTATGTACCAGCCAACCGACCATGATGAATAGAAAGTGTACCATATTGTTACTGTCTGACTATCTTCTCAAATTCTAACGAATGAAATAAGTCACTCCTATTCACTTTGTAACTATTCGTTCTAAGGACGTCATACGTTAACCGTCTTATCATTCGTTTGCCTTCTTTTATTTGCATTTCTGTTTGTTCTTGCCATCTTGCCTAGTCAATCCTGTGTTGAGTTTTTTGTAGTAGTGAGTAGAACAGCAAAAAATTGATCGTGAGAAGGCGAAAAACACTTTGTGCATGTGACTGCATTTTAAGTCTTGAGAAATAAAGGTAAAATAAAAAATATTTCTTGTGCACTGTAATAGAAGACGAAGGAACGTGAGTATTTGAGTTTCGTTCTCTTTTCTTTTCTTTCGTATATACGTATATACGTGTATTAGATGTTATATATGCTGATCGATATGCACGAATATTTTTATATAAGGAATGAAAAACAAAGATAACATACATAATATGTATAAGATAAGCGAAAAAAAGCAGATACTAATAGAGATCAGAAGAAGATGAAAAAATATAGAAGATAACGTAGAACTATGATTATGTTAACGCGCGACATCACCGTAACATACTCTTTTATTGGACAACAAGATGTGTCTTATTAACATTTGTCTGAAAACATAACAAATATAATGAAATATACAACTACAAGAAGGAAAACGAAAGAAAAACAATAATAATAACCATCAAGTTCAATATCTGAAAATGAGTAGACACCAAAAAACAAATATGATGAGAAAATACAAATAGCAAGAAAAGAAAACAAGTTTCAACAGGCCAGTGAAAAAGAAAAATACGATCACATTGCCATATGATATGATGAAAAACGGTTTTTTTAACGGATATGAGTTCAAATATAACGCAACATAACAGAAAAAAAGAGAATATAATGATTTGTCCTAGAAAATAGCGGTTTAACAACACATCAAATAGAATGATTTCAAATAAAACTAAGTAGTCTAGACAGATGCATGATCTTAATAGAAAAAAGAATTAATTCAAAGATATTTATCACTTTGGTCGTGTGATTCATTTTTTGTTAGATACTATTGATTTATTAAATCATTTTTGTTTGGTTTTCAGGTAAATATCGGAAATTAAAAAATACTGAATAAAATGTCCTCCATGTGCTTAGTTAAATTTGAATGATAATGGTAATCATATACATTACGATTATTTTCTTTAGATGAACTGAATTTATGTTGTTCATTTTTGAACTGATTATAATGTACAGTTGTAAATAATTCTTTAGTCTTTACTTTGTATGCTTGTAATTCAGATGCATGTTTAATTCTAATAGATAAACGTGTTTCATAAGTTAATGAAGAAGTTAATATATTAATCGCTGAAAATATAATATCATATTGTCAAAGAATATTTTTCATATTACGAATCGTCAATCGTCGATCGATATTTCGACGAATAATTTCATGTCGATAATATCATTTTCTTTGTTCAAGTGTACAAGTTCGATTATGAATTTTCTTTCTTTCTTGATTAGTTAATCGTTCATCCTGTTTTGAATAACGTCGAAGATGAAAGAAAGTCGAAAACAGAAGTATCGAAAATAAAAATATCGGAGGATTAAAATGTCGACAAAAAAAATCTTCCATTATTTGAAGTTAGGGAAGTTGAACAACGTAACGATATTGTTTACAGCATTAAAAGGAAGACGACATCAACAGTCGATAAGTTTAATGAAGTTATTGTCTTTGTTTTCAAAGGATACCACAACAGACAATACAGTCGTATACATCGACATCATTCCAATATTTGAACTTTAATAAAGTTTATGCAAAATGAAGAGAAAAGGGTACAATGTATCGCGATCCAGTTGTTTGCTGGTTTTGGAAAAACAAAAAAAATTCGAACAACAACTATTCAAAATCGTATCAATACATTTTATAATCAATTTTCTAATAGTCTTATCAATGCAGCTGATCATCTAACTGATTTATCATGCGTAGTTGCGAAGAAAATAAAGTAAAATGTATTCGTGAAATATTATTTGATACATTAAGTTATCTCTGTTATTTCATTATTTCACAGCTTTTATTACTGTTAAACACTCAGGTGTGGATATGTTGATATTCTACACCCAGATTCACATCCACACCCACACCCTACTATTGACTATTTAGTGTAAATGACTTTTCTTTAACTAGAAAAGACGTTTAGATAAGCCAAAATCTAGTATATTTCTAGCATTCGTGATCGAGAAGAAACATCATTTATGCAATTCGATACATGATATGCTTTCTTCTAGAAATTGATATGCTACGTAAAAATATAAAGAAACGAACCAAATCGATAAAACAGACCTTCACTTGAAAGACTTCATCGAAACTGATGCAAATTCTAGGCATAAACAACAATCGAATACTCCACTTTTCAGTTATAGTAATTAAATAATGCGGGTCAAGTCCTTTAACGGATACGTTTTGAGAAGAAGAAGACTAATGACAAAAGAATGTATGTGTTAGTGGTGCCCTCTTTCGTGCTACTCAGCGAATTTGTCCGTTCGTCAGTTATCTAACAACTGAAAGTGTTGCGATGTGACAGTTATTTTTTTGCTTTATCAATAAATTACTCTCTCGTTTCGGTTATCATCATCATCGCTACGTATGGATGAAAAAACAGCTATTATAAAACAAATATTTTCCGATTATGACAATTCATTACAAATTCAAACTATATCTCGTCCATTAAATGGTTATTCAAATTCAGTTTATTTTATCACATTTAACAATAATTCTAATATGGAACTTGTTTTAAAATTTACTCAACCTGGTGACAATACTGAAGTGCTTTTCTATCAAACATTGAATCACTATGCCAGTGATTATTATCCTATACCACAAATTTTAAAATACGATCCCATCGTTCATAATTATTATATTTCTTCAAAATTACCTGGTTTTCCATTATCACAAGTATTAGATTCTATGACACATGGACAACAACTAGAAGTCTATCGAGAATTGGGTATACTTGTAGGACAGTTACATTCAAAGCACATTTATGAAAAATGTGGCTATTTACAAGGTCAACAATATTCTAGTTGGAAACATATGTTTAGTGATATAATTCAAAAACAAATTATACTATTCAAAGAAACAATATTTGAAGAGCTTGGTAATAGAATTTGCAAGTATTTGATTGACAATTTGCATTTAATTGATTATGATATAGTACCAAGATTATTACATATGGATTTACATTGCGGTAATATTTTAGTTTCTAATACAAAAATTACAGGTATTTTAGATGCTGAAGATGCCCTTATTGGTCATAATGAATATGAATTAATGAGAATTGAAAAAGCTCATTTTGAAGAGAATAATAATAATGATAATCGAGAACAATTTATGTCTAGTTATATGCACAATGTTAAATTAGATGATGGATATGAAGAACGACGACGAATGTATTCATTATCGAGAGAATTGGTTGCAATGAAATGTTTATTAGACTATGGTGATAAATATGCACAAAATGGATCAGTAGAACAGGACAAAAAATATATAGAAGATAAAATAGAGCGAATCATTAATATGAGTTGAGGAATATATACTGCAAATGAGGTGACATCGTTTCGATCACAATGTTCCAAAATATTCTTGAATTTACAGTAGAATTTTTTCCTTGTCGATATTTCCAACAATATCATCAAAGACACAGAAGAAGACGTCCTTGCTATACTTTCAATCTTGCACTAATTAGAGCTCTTAACATCATCTACTGAAATACAAACGTATCGAGGCACACACCAAAAAGCAGTATGCGTGACTATTTGGATGATTGAACAGATAATGTGCACGTATTTTTGGAAGGGCAGATTGGGTATAAGATGGGTGGGTTAATCTTCTCTGCAATCTCACCCACGCCAACACTCTTCTTGATCGCGCACAAATAGAATAGAAATGAAATTCATTTCCTCCTTTGAATAGCCATTTGTTCATTATTCATTGTGATTTATTTGATAGAAATGAAAAAAAAATAATCATCTTCATGAGTCTATTCGATAGAAAAACGTTGAACACGATTATTATGATAATCGACAACATAAAGATGGCCATATCGATCAAAGGACAAACTGCCGACACAGTTGAACTGATTTGCTCTTTCTCCACAACCATTTCCTCCCACAATAACAGTGCCATGTTTCGCTCCTCTAGGCCAACATATCACTCGATGATTCAACGAATCACCCACGTAGACGGTATCTAATGTATCGACGAATAATCCTTCAGGATGCCACAATTGTTTTAGAGCATTTCCTTTTCCTTGACCTCCAGCGACGACAATACCTTCCCTTGCACCTTTGTTCCATTTCATTACACGATGATTGTTTTGGTCTGACACGTATACAGCCTGTTGACGATCGACAAAGATGTAGGTCGGCCAATTGAGTTGATTAAGACCATCACCTTTGCCATGGCCACCAGCCACAACAGTTCCATGCTTTTCTCCTATTTTATATCGTCTTACTTCATCGTCTCGAGTGTCGGAGATGTAGAGATATCTCCGGTCATCCATGGCGATCCCATAACCATCAATTTTGTCAAGGAGGATATCTTCCTGAGTTATGCCACCTCGCCGAGACCATCGAACGACTCGTCGATTCTCACGATCACAGATGATGAGACTATTCGTCTCTTTGTCAATTAACACATCGGTTGGACCATGCAATTGATCTAATCGATTTCCTGAACCACAGCCACCTGCAATCACTTGTCCATTTGCATTACCAATTCTCCATTGGATTATACGATGATTGCCACAGTCAGCGATAATTATTCTTTGATCATCATCAATGAAGAGACCGGAAGGGCAGTCGAGTTGATGGATGGCATTGCCATATCCGAAGCCTCCGACAACAGTAACACCGTTCTGTGTCCATCGGGCATTCACTGGTATATTGGAAATCACTATAATGAACGACAAAGAAAAGAAGTCGTCACCGATGTTGCCGAAGACGTTCTCTACTCTGATCGGCACGTCCACGGATGACACTTTTTTTATCCGAAAGAAAGTTGCTACAACTTGCGAGAATAGTTCTTCTCCGTAACATACTCTAAACAAACGAAGTTCTTCCCGCAGATACAAATTCAGGAATATATTTTGATTTACTTTGAACATAGGGGTTGTAATGACTTTTACATCTTTATCACTTTCGTATGTCAACCCTGATTGTTCCTAGAGAATTCCATGTATGCTTTGTGACAAGGCATGTTTGTAGTGAGTTGTTTCAATTCTTGCCAAGATCTTTTAGATTCTAAAAAGTTAAGTCTTCGTCAGAAATAAAAACTGTACCTTGAGAATACTATAAGGAGATATTTAAGGAAAAAATATTATTGAAATATTGAAAAATCAATGCTAATCCAATTGCAGCTCTCGATAGGAAAACATGGAGAATTAAAGATTTTATTTGTAATTGTGAATACAGAATCTTTAGAAGACTATGAGAGAGAATTCTATTGAGATAGGAATAGGTCCTTGTCAAGATCTAGGACGCATTCCTGTGTAAAAATTGAAAGGTACAGTAGACGAGGATCTGACTGGAAGAATAATAAACTTATTTAGAGTCGTCAACTGAAAAATCCTGAGAAGATTGTATTGCGATCTTTTTAGGCGGATCCCAAGAATAAGGATTTCGACTTCTTGAAAAATAGATGTGAATCGTAATTAGTATGTATTTGTAGAACCTTAAGGAACGAATATGCATCTTTCAGAATACTTTGTATATGCTTCGACGATATTATTTATCATTTGATTGTCTGGATTTAACTTATGTCAAGCTCTTCGAAACATGATCTTGATAGAATTCAGTACTACAACACGAATATCGAACAAGTAACTTATTCTATTTAGTACAATGACAAGTATCGAAGTTTTTTTGAAATTCAGTAAGAAATTTTTTGCTGAAGCTAGTATTTTTGAAATACTTAGAAGACCAATACTAATTCTATGAAAAGTCTGTATTAGAAAAACATAAGGATTAAGTTGGCTAATAACGCATCACTGATTGAGAAGATTAAAATCATACGATCTTGCTCGTTTGAATTTATCTTCTGATGATTAAAGTGAAACGGAAAAATTCAGTTAAAGTATGGTTTCTTTTCGTTCAAGAAAACACAGAGAGAAAATACCTTAAGAATAAGTATTTCATTGATAAGTACATTTATAAAAGTTCAAACACAGTTTTAATTATATATTATTTCTTTGAGAACCTCCACATTATCCAATCACATCCTTTACGCATCTATTTGCGCATTCCTAACTGACTCATCATTAATACTGACCTTGTGGCTTGGTATTCACGTTTAGCGGAATTGTTGCAAATTTTTGTTCCATGACTCCAGCAATAGGTTTCATCGCAACCTCTACTGCTACCGCTATTGTTTGAGGCTTCATTTGTGAGAATGTCTTACGTTTAACTGATGGACTTGACAGGGGAACTGGTTCAAGAAGATCGAATGGTGGCTTCAGTTCTGTGAGTTGTACTATGTGTAGTCCGTTGCCAGAATCGAGACAAGATGTGACTTGAAATTGTCTGGCGGGTAATAAAAGTATATCATCTTCACTAGTCACAAATGAATGTTTTTTAATGTTCTTTGCTGCAGTACACTCTATTTGGAATAGAGTTCTATTTCCAGTTGTCCCAAAAGCTTGTTCATTCTCCAACACTTCCACTGATGAAGTGCATGATGAAAATCCCCACCAAATGAAAATCTTGCCTAGTGGATAGTCAGTCCACAAGCTTCCTCTGACTCCTCGAAAAACGGAACGATGCTCTGATGGAAGGCGAGCAAGCGCCGTCAATATGAGTCGAAGATAGAGAAACCATGGAATTAAGTTTTTTCTTTGTTCAGACCGTAAAGTTGTATTAAGCTTTGCGTACAAGGAATCTTCATGTGGCATCGATTCATACGTATAAAGCATAATTGAAGCCGATTCGTCAGTTGTTAAACCATCTTCTGGTTCTTGACAGTTTTGTTTGACTATGAATACATTTCGTTCCACTTTAGGTACAATATCGATAAGAGGTTTCACAGCTTCCTCAAGCGTTACAAGTGGTACTCTCTCATAGCCCTCGATTGGTGCCAACATACGTGTTGATAATGTACCCACATCAGCAAAGCGAAAAACATAATTTTTTTTGGTAAAACTACTATAATCCATTTGAAAGTTCTAAATCAAGAACAATAAATTTATCCTCTCTTTCACATTTTCAAAATCACATGTAGGAAGATACTGCTCCACAATATGCTATTCAATACATGAAACTATCGATTTTTAAAAATAAAAAGAACAGGAAGATTAGTTTATATTAAGTATCAACGAATGGCCTAATACTTAAGATTGAGTTAGAAAGACTAGAAAGTAATGAATTAGATAACTCAGATGATTGAATAATGTCACAGGAGTATGCAACGAGTCAAGCGAAACAAACTTCAGACATATGTGCTTATACATGACGCTTTTTATACACTTGGTATTATTCCGGCTAATTGTCGTGTCTCATGACAACTTTTTTTGAGATATTGAAAGATTTTCTGCGCTTTTTGTTGAAATGTGTACGAAACTTGACACTACTTGATAACAACTAATAATGACACAGCAGTTGCAGAATGTTCACTTATGTATTTTTTGCATTATTAGTCGTTAGTGAAATAAATAATGAACGATAATATAGAATTCTGTGAAATCTTACGAATTCTATTGAATTATATAACGACACAGGTCATCATAGTTTAGAAACACGGTGCAATATTTGATTCTTTTGGTTTTTCAGAATCTACTTAGAGTTTAAAAAGATGAATGGAATGTTAAGGAAATTCTTTTTTGTGATAGAGCATTTGAAAGATGAATATTGGACATATTAGTGTCAATATAGAATTTTGTTGAAATCAAAGTTAGTTTTCAAATTCTAGTGAGCATTTGATGGATAAAATTGAAAATTTCTAAACGTTATTTTGAATCACATATGGATTCTAAGTTGGAGGAACAAAATTATGTTTCATAAAATAAAGCGTTTTGGGCTTTTGATTTTGAAGTTGTATAATAAATTGTCTCATGCTCGCGATTACAAAATCTGTTCTATTTTTTAAATTCTCAGAAGGATTTTGTTTTTTATTCGGGAAAATATGTATATGAAAGACTTTGCCTTCTATTAATAACTGTATAGTTTTATTATAATTCAGCAGAATTTATGTGTTTAGAGCGAAAAACTATTAGACACATATGACTGCCGAGAACATTATCTGCTACTAGAACATTGATAATTCTACCAAATTTCTGTAGCTTTTTGTTATTCTAAGCAGAATTTTGGTTTTAAAATAGAGAAAACATGTCTGGCAGAATCTGCTTATGTTACTAGCTAATCGAATTCTGTTTAAAAACGTGTGGCTTTTTAATCTGCATAAGTTTGTTTTTATCAGGAAGGAGTTTTGAAAGACTTTATCTTCTTGTTAGATCTGTAGAATTGTATTCAAAATCTGGTGACTCTCTGAAACTCTCAGCGAACTTTTGTTCGCCCTCGAGCGTTGCATATGAGAAAACTTATCTTCAGATGCTGACATATAAATTTTTACAAAATTCTGCTGTATGTTTCAAATTGTTGGTAGATTTCTGTTTCAAGAATATCGGTTTTTGTCTGACAATAGGTGTGAATGAAGAAAAATGGTGTTGTACTATTCATTTTGTTTGATCTGCTATCTAATATGAACAAGTCTACAAAATTCTGAATTCTTTTTGGTAGACATACTGGAGGCTATCTCCAATAAGTTACTCACCCCTCACGAAATGAATCAAACCTAATGTATGCAGAAAACTTTGTGTTGAGATGCTATTAAGTAAACTTGATATTATGTATGTGACACTGTTGGCTTGTTTTATCGAATGATTCTTTTTTATCTTTACAGCAAGGCAATTCATTCTTTTCGTATTGTTTGTTATTTTGCATAGTTTCCTTTCTGTTCTTTTTTTTTTTTTTTTCTTGTCAATAGTCTATCACCAACGAATCTACACAACATGCGCACGAAATGATATACTTGAGTGATTTGCACATAGTGAATCTTGCACATGAAATAAAAACAAAACTTATTTATACCTGATAAGATATTGAAAAACAAAATGTGCTAGCAAAAATAAAAAATTGTTTTTTTTTATTTTAAAATTTGTAATATTTCACATTCATATATAATATATAAACAAAACGCCTTAAAATAAAAAATTTTGATAGTTATTCATAATTTAGTTTAATAACATGACGAGATCAAAAACATGGAACGTTTAATAACGGTAGTATTTAATTTACTATATGCGATAAATATACGTTTGCTTTTAAATTCACACTTCAATGTATTCGAGAAAATATTTTTGCAACGAGTGCGAGTATTACTGATGATTTAATAGAAATATTATAACACAAGAGTCTGAAAAAAGTTTTCAAAGTCTGTCAGCACAAGAATGAAACTTGCCTGAATAGCTGCTGATGTTTTTCGATAGTCCTTGTTAGACTATTGCAAATCATTTCTGAATCAGTCTAACTTGAGAAAATAGTCTACTAAAAACTAGCAATTTTTTTCTGCCGTATTGGTCATGACAAACGCAAAGATGTTATATTGTTCGTCTCAGCTAATTATTGAAGCCATTTTATTGAAACAAAAATAATTCTGTAGATATTCTAAAGTATCGGCAGAATTAACAAATTAGAATACATTGTTCAGTAGAAATGGATACTTTTTATTATCTATAACATATTAAAAATAACTCTATTTTGAAGTATCTTTCCTCATCGATATCAGAACTGCTGAGAAACTCATTTGAACATGTTTGGCTTTACGGTACTCCTTGGTATTCAATCAATTCACCTACCTTTCTGACACTTCTGCTTAAAATTGCTTTCTTAGACGCCTACTCTAAACTCAATGCCTTAACTACAGCGAGTTATCTGTACTACATTAATGAGAAATATTTTTTCATATTGAAATCAAGGATAATGAGTTCTCTGAAAGTTTTAGAAGGTTCTCGTCTTCGACGAATAATCTTTTATAGAAATACATACAGAAAAAGAAAATCCGTCATTCATTGACTTCTATAGGCATATTAACCGTCTATTCCACTATTATCAAAGAGGATTTCCTGGTAATATATCATCACAAACATGAACACATTACTAATTCAAAATGATCAATTGGTAAATTACGGTTTACCTACCTATATAAATATTTCTATCTTTTTAGTTACAGTACGTAGTTCTACTGAACATGTTCCTTTACAATTAATCACTTAGATTAATATAAGTCGTCCAAAAATGATCATGGAAAAGATTTCACATTAAAACCAGATTAAAAATCCTTGTCCTCCATAGTCTTTAGATTTAACTTCCATTATAAGATTGTTTGTAGAACTATGAGACATGGCTATGTTTTGTCAAATATAATATTACATCGATCAAATAATTCGAAATTGATCTAAACATAAAAACTATACCAAGTTAACAATAAAGTGTCGTAGTAAAAGTTATTATATTATTTACAATCATACAAAGACGAATCATTTTGATGAAGATTTTATACCATTTTATTTAGTTTATAATGCTCTTTCGAATGATGTATTTATAAATTGAAAATGAATATATAATTCATCGATTATTAATAATTGATTGTTCTAAATCATAATTAATATTTAATTATTAAAACTAGTAATTTTTAAAATGTATTTTTTTTTATTGAAATCCAGTTCGTTAAATTCTGTATTGAATGATATACAAAATAATTTTAAAAATATTTAATTAAAAATAAAATTTTTATGGAATATTAAAATATATTCTAAAGTTTTGTCTGCTACAACAAAAATAGTTTGTATGAAAAAATTTTTACATAAATAAACTTATGAAAATATTTGTATTTCAAGCTCAAAGCTCGTTCTGAGAGCTAAGGACATCACTATTTGAACAGATTGAATAACTCATTTTGATTAAAATAAAATGGGGTCCGAAAGTTTCGTTCTCCATTTGATATGGTTCACTTCATATATTTTACATTGATGAAAAACGTGGCGTAAATGATGCATTAAATACAGAAAGTAAAAATAAAATAAGAAACATGAATTGTCATTCTTTATATTTGGAGTGAGAAGATGCACATCGCATCAATTAACACACAAATAATATATTCTCTGATTATTTAATGGCATCTAATGCGTCGACGTATTCGTTATCGTTTAAATCCATTTCGTGGCATACGACTTTTACTTCTTTTAACATGTTGTTTATTTATTTTTGTTTACTATATATTAATAAAATTATTTAATTGGGAAACAAAACCATCACCATTATTAACTCGTCTTTATCCCGATATGCCAATGACAATAGATCTTCGTTCATATTCAGTTTGTCATCCAAACAAATTCTATTTAGATAATATAACTTCATATTATCATCAATATTCAAAACAACAAACATGTTTTCTTATTGAACATCTTGATGGTGGACCATGGTGGTCATATGTAACACATGAATTTGCTGAAATTCTAACAAATTTAAAAGAAATCGGTATTCAATCAAATATAAATTATCGATCATTTCCTCAACATATAAAATTAAATTACAAAACAAATTTGACAAAATATTTTTTAAATGCATGTAATTTTAATGAAAATCTTTATATGAAAAATAAAATTCCTATTATTATTCTTCTTTGGGATATAAATCAACTTCTATGGAATAAAATACATGATCAATGGATTTATTTATTAGAAAAACTTCACATACGTATATTAGTTTTTATTGATGATCTTCATTTTACAACAAAAGAAAGTTTTTTAAGTCGTCAATATTTATTTCAATATATAGCATCAGAAATATTTTCAACATATTCATATATATTTCATAATTATTATTTTAATATATCATCATCAAAAATTACTTGGTTACCTCATGCAGCATCATCATTATCATATCATTCAATAAATCAAACAGCTGAAAATCTTCTTTTCATTTCAGGTGCTCATATATATGAATGGTATCCATGTCGTTCACGCGCTTTTTTTCTTTGTCAATCTCGAAAAGATTTAGTAGGTTGTTTAAAGCATCCTGGTTATGGTGAAACAATGAAGAATGATAGTTCATTTTTTTATGGTGGAAAAAGATATTTTTCTTATATGAAAAAATATAT